CCAGGAAAACTGGCTGAGGCCCCAGAGACCAAAGAGTGATCTTAGATTGGCACAGTGGAGAAGAACTGGTGGCTTTTCCTCTTTCACAAGCTCTGTTGGGCTGCACTTTGACAATACCCATGTCTGGGGGGAGCCTTGACTCTAGGGCTCCTCTGCTCCTCTTGCCTACCACTGTAAATACCATCCAGCAAACCTCAAACTCTTCCATGCTCCTTCTGCCTGCCTCCCACCCTCCTCCCTTGGATCAGTTTGGCAGCATCAAGTGAGACATGCAGCCAGGCTTTGGGTTTAACCAGATTGCTGGAGCAGAATGGGAAACATGCAGATGAAAGAAAGTCATAACAGGAAGTAATTTCCCTTTACTAGGGCACGAGCCTCCCCGCTGCTGACCTGGCTGGCTAACTCCCCTCTCCAGGCTATTAAACAGCTCATGTCCCCAGGGCAATCATTTCAACCAACTGGGAAGGCTCCCAGATTGACTGGTTTTCATGTCTAAGGGGGAAAGCTTTCATTTGGCCTGTTTTGCTCCCCCAGTAAGCCATCCTCATGAGAAAATCTGCTATAAATATTCATCTGTTGAGAACCAACAACTTCAACTTCTCCACAACCTGTTTTCCTCTAAAATGGAGAAAAAGCAGCCCCTGCTAATCTAGTTCAAACTGTCTCATGTTTGTGCCAGCCCTCCACTGAGAGAGCTCAAACTCCAAAGCAGAACTGGTCCTTCCCAGGGAAGGGAACAACAAAATATCCAGGAAAAGCCTTTCCACAACTTCCCAGTTCCAGTCATGAAAATGTAACTCACTAGATTATCATTATTCTCTAGAATGTGTTGCTCCTTTTAAAACAGCCACTTGGAATTAAAGCAATTAATATCTAGGTGTGTTTTACCAGCACCTCAACAACCACTGGGCAGCACAGGCCTGACAAAACACACAAGAAAACAAAATCTTATGTGCCACTAGGTTAGGAAATAAACCCTGTCCTCTGTTTAACTCCTGTAGTATGGCAATTTTCTAAAGGAAATTACTTCTCACTGAATGTGCTAATTCTCATTAAATTTCAATTTGTTTCATGCCAGCAGATCAAGCATAAAAAAAGTAAGAGGAAAAATGCTGCAGTAGAAAAATGATGGCTGGGAACAGCAGAAGTATCATAACAAGCACTTCACAGCTCTGATTTCAACCCAAAATAGTATTTTCTTATCATTCTTAGTTTCCCCTACTCTGTTTTTAGTAATTCTTTGAACACTAACTCTCACTGTTGCCTTGGGAATTTAGGCCAAATAAGGACTGAGCAAACCATGGACAAGGATACGCCCCAGCAGTCTTTAAAAAGCTTACCAAGCACAAAATGCCAAAGGAATATTGACCACAGACAGGTTTTTAAAGAGTGACAGGCCCAAAATGCTGATCTACAGCAGTGCAGGGTCTTTTCTGCTTCAGGAAGAGGAAAGAACCACACTGAATCCAAGGAAACTGCTGCTGCTGACTCCCAAATAACAGCAGCCATTAGTGAGCAGCTCACTGCTTTCCCTGAAGGTGGTCTGATGGTGGCAAAACAATTACAAGAGCAGGAAAACCTATTCCTGGACACATTACAGTCTGTTAGAAACCTGCCATTACCCTCCACTGATGGACTTTGCATCAGCCCTGAAGTATCTGAGACATGTGGACATCATGCCCATTTCCTACAACTTACACATTTTTCAAGATTTAAAGCACCATAGTCTCAAAACCTTAACTCAGTGTGTAATGGGTTTAACATATATTTTACATCTTAATTTGCCATAATAATGTGGCTATAAGCTGCTGTCATTCACTCCCTTTTTCTGACCTTGGAAATAAAATGTTTAATCTCCACGGGATTTTCCTGGCGAGATGTTTTAAATCAGTGCATATGTACATACTTCTCTATATGCTTTTTCAATTTTCCTAAAATATTCTCATATGTGCAGACATGATGACTAGACATGTTTCAGTGGTGCTTGAAACTTGATACAAGTGGGTAATTTAACCATGTAATTGAACAATATTACAGAAACACAAGGAGTTTCCTAGCAACAAAAGGCCTTGGACATCAAGATGGCAGCCAGCAGCTAACATTGCAATTGCCTGACCTAACTTGAAAAGAAATTACACTGAAGAATGTCCTCCTTCCTCCCAAAGCAGAACCAGTACCTGGCTACAGGTCTGACCTCGAAGGGCTTTGCTTACAGGCCTTACTCATACACAAGGTCACAAATGTCACATGAGAAAGGACATTTAGGGAACATTTCTATTTTCCAGAGGGAAGAATAATGGTTTTGAAAAAAATTCTGAACCCTCAAGTTTACCCCTATGGAAAATTAGAAGCTTCCTAATGTGAAGTAGCTGATTACAGCTGAGCTAGTGGATGGAGAACTCCCTGATTTTAGGGCATTTCCAGGGCACCAAGGGAAAGGTGGCACAAGTCCTCTGAGCCTGGAAGCCACCAGTGCTGCTCTGTGCCACTGGTTCCTGGGCCAGAGTCCCACAGCTGGGGAAACAGGACACAGAGGGATGGCAGGAGATCATCTCCCTTCTTTCCTTTTCCCTCATTTTCAGCCATCTCTCACTGCAGTATTTGGCAGGAGGAAAACCACAAGATTTTCAGTGCAAGCTCTTTTTTTGCTGAAGCAAGTCAGTTGCTAAGCAGCTGCCCCAGAGGGCTGAGGGCAAGTGTCCCCTCTGCCAGTGCAGGGGAAGGTGATAGCTGAGATGAAGAGCTTCTGACCAGCCACTCTCAATAAAAACCTTCTCCTCATGGGCAAGAGGAAAGCATGGAAGAAGCCACCAACTCTCGAGGGTGCAGTGACCCCAAAACTCCAGGACTGAGGCACAAGAGGGCACTGGAAAACTTCCTCACACCCTTCTATGCTCAGAGCTTCCTTCAGTTAAACAACAGAAGTCTCTATTCCCAGTTACACCATGACTTCATTTTTCCATCTGAAGTAGCTAAGTGTTGCTTCAAGAAAAATATCAAAAATTGCTAAGTTTTCATTCAGAAAACAGCTAGTCTTGGGCAGAGAAACAAACCCCTACTAACACCAGAATGATGGTCTACTGGTATTTCCCTAAAATAGCAGCAGCTATTTGTGTGCAGCCTGTCTGTAACAAAGATGTTGGTATAAAAACCCTCCTTGCCAACACCATTCTTTTCAACGTTGCCTTTCCAGCTCTGGAGGCACTGGCTGCTTTCACAGCCAAGTTTGCCACTGCTATGGAAAACAGGCTGCACATGCAAGCCAGCTGAAGTCATCCAGACTGAAAAGGGCCCAGGCTGCTGCTGCTACCACTGTAAAAATGTTATTTGGAAACCATCTTCTCAGAGAGCTGTATAAGGAATCAAATCCGTGGTAGGGATGCAGGCTTGGTGCTTTCCCATTTTTTAGCAGTGACGAACACAGCAAAGCTCTTATCTCAAAATAAAACATTTCTGCCCCTTACAAAGGCACATCAAGCAGGCAGGGCAGAGTGGCCTTATATAGCTGGCCTGGCAATGTCCTGCTCACCACTGCATCTGAGCACCTCCTGGCACTGTGCCATCAGAACCCCAGCCAGTGTGGATGGAGAGCTCTGCCCAGCCTTCCTCTTCCTCAGCTGGGAGGCAGAGGGATGTCTCTCCATTCTGAAGAGGGGTTGTGCACAGGAAACAAGAACAGCACAGAGACAAGGCCAAAATCACAAAGGAAAACAAGAAGTAAAGCACTTTACACCTGGGTCAGAAATAATGTAGTATTTGGTCAAACAGAGGTATATGACACACAAGAAATACAAGATTCTCAGTGTCTAAGGGCACACAGAAGCTTGTTTTAGAGGCAGAGCAACACAAACCATTTCCTCCACAGATTTGTCCTTCCTGTGCTGCTGTTTGCTGTCTTACAGGGGCTGAGTTTGTAACTTCTAGGGCAGATGTTGGGTCTCCCTACGATACCCAGCTGTGTGTTTGTGTAAGAGTCGATGGAATCCAAAAATCCAATAATTACAAGATGGTTGCTGTTAGCACTCAAACAACAATTAAATGCAGGGAGAAAGGAATATTTCTATTTCCTAAAGATGCTTCACAGCATAAACTGCTTCAGATAAAAGGACAGTCAGTTTAATTAAGTTTTTGTTTCTTGAGCCTCAGAAAAAATACCATTTTTCAACAGCACAACTTAAATTTCATCTTAACTAGAAAAATATACCTGTCAATACTTGTGCCAAATCTTAGAGACATTCTCCAGAGTCCTTCCCTTAAATGCTTTTTGATAAATATTTTATCTACTCTGCACTCCACTGCACATTTCATGGCACGAGACCTTGTGAAAATGTCACTACTTCAGGCAATCAAACAAGACATAAATGGCAGTTTTATCCAGAGTTTTTTCCCATGTGAGTTTTCTCTACAAGGTAAAAGCAGATTAGGCAGACCAGACTTGCACTGTTCCTCTGCTCCAGCTGAATATGACAGTATTTCATTGAGTCATAATATAATACCAGATATGCTTCATTTGGTTTTTGTGATCCCAAGCCAGTGCTCAAGTTTAGATGACCTCAGATTTAGGCAAATCTGAAGAAACTTAAATACTGCAGAAAAATTGTAGTCAAATTGTAGTATCTCATCACTCACTCACTTCTTTTTTGGTAAGTTCCTACAGAGCCCAGTGACCAAAGAATGCTTTTACTCAGAACACAGAAATTCCTGAGGAGTTCTGGACCATCTTATGGCTTCAGGTTCTGGGACTCATTTACTATTGGTACAAAACATCAAATACAGGCAAAAAAACCCTGTTCTAGCTGAAGTCTCTGTCTTCCAACCAAGACACTGGGTGTGACAATGAGAGGTGCAAAGCACATTTGAACATCTCCATGCTCTGTAGATCCCTATCAGAAATTATGACTTGAAAGCTCAGGACAACCAAAAAATTCCAAGTAAATCTATTGGAGTATTGGCATCTGTTTGATATTTCACATATCTTTCTGAAGAAACAAGTTTCTTACCTTTAGGAAAACGAACCTTTTCAAAATCTTGAAAATTAAGTAACCCCAATATAAATGCAAGCCTTGGAGGGTTAATAGCATCCCATTGAATAAAAAATATGCTATGACAGGAGTGGTGGAGTAGTAGGTAGGCTGATATAGGGTGGCACGAAGAATCCTAAAAAATAAAGATGATTGTTAAGGTGCAAGATCTCTTCCTTATGCTATTTACACTTATTTCTAATCTCATATTCCAAGCTGATTAATATTAAAAAGCTCTGCAAAGATGGTAGATCAATTAACAAGCCCTGCCTTAACTAGATTATGCATCTCTGTTGATATACAGACTTCAGAAGATGAGAAATTTGAGTCTGGCATGGAAGTACTCTAAGTGAGGTTAGAAAAAGTCCCTGTTTTTCAGATCTCCATCTCTGTGTGGTCTAGATACTGTGCAACTCAGAGCTTGCCTATGCCTTTTTTAGTGCAAATTCTCTCTAATCTGAAATCCACACTTGAGAGAAAATCCTAGAGGCTTTGCAACAGGGTTTTTTGTTAATTAACATATGTTTTGTCCATCTTCAGACTTCACTACTTCTATATTATTTGGGGCTCTTTGAGTCCCTTTAATCTCCTCGTGTTTCGCTTCCAAGCTCAAGAACTGAAGAACAAGAAACTCAGTGAAGCAAAATGATTGCAGATCACTTGTACAGTTAATTAAAAAAACAACAATAAAGTAAAAGACATCAGCATTTCTGAAAGAAAATACTACAGGAAATTAAAGCCTTATGTTGATCAATGTTCAGAACTATTAATTTAACCAGCTTGAGTCTCTAAGGGTTTGTCCATGTGCAGGGAGGGGCAAATTAGAGCTGTGAATGTGAAACACATTAAACACTTTTTAAAAGATAAACATGTTAAGCACCCATGTGGATACTCCAAAGCAGATTAAATCATAGCACTCCAAAGGCATGCAAGTATTTAGCAAGTTAAGATTTATTTGTGCTGACTTCATAAATTAATTGGTTCACCTAAACTTCTCTTGAGTGCTCCTCATGCAAGTGAGGTGAGGCACTACCCAAGAACTGGGTAGCAGAAAGAAGGCTCTAAAAAAATTAACTACAGTCATGTACTCTGACTTTGCAGCTACAGCAGAAAGGGTGGAATGAATGGGAAAAGGATTTCTCTTAGTTAAGGAGCTCAGTCCCCTTGAAAATGCAGGGGCTTACAGCATTTAACTACTATTTACAAAACAAGTTATATAACACATACAAGCTTTTATTTAGGTTAAAGAGGCTCATTTAAAATTATTTTTACATGATAATTTTTAAAGAAAATATCAGTTTTTGTCCATTTTCTCACTAGCAGAACATTCAAGTCCAGTCCATTCCTTTCCTTTTTCCATGACAACCAACACTAAACTTTCAGGGGGAGTGGGAATGAAGTAAAAGCCTGAGACTGGATTAAATCTTGCTTACCAGAAGGGGAACAGGATCATCCTGGTGATGAAGAATGCAATAGAGAAGATGATGAACAGTATGTTGCAAGTTTTCTCCCAGCGAGCATAATTAAACATTTTGGCTGCCTGCAGTGGATAAAAATCCCCAAACATATTATAAATATTCTCTGAAATAAATTCTGTGTTTTCATAAATAAAGACTCATCTTCCACCTAAGCAGGAAGAGTATTTCTTCCCAGTTTGACATGTAAAGCAATCATTTTACTGATACCTAATAAAGCACCATCAGACCAGATTCTCTGTTTATATTTCTTTTTTCATCTTGAAGGAAAGGACTCTGCATCAAAGGCCTAAAGAACAGCACTCAGACCAGAATATAAAGTGTCATGGAAACACAAAGCGCTCTTTAGAACAGAGATAATTCCTCATTTTTCCACCAGATTCCAAACAGACTGAATTCCAAGAGAAGCTGCTGCTACCCCTGCACATTCAGGAGATCCCTGAAATGCAGGTGTTCTGGGACATGCCTGTTACTGACCCCCCTCAGGGCCTGATTCAGCTCCTGTCTTCTCCTTTTTGAGAGCAGGAGATCTCAGTGCTGGTCTCTATCACACTAATAAAGGTTGTAAGTGCTGCTTCTCCCCTAAATGAACTGTCCAGCTCCCCCTGCTCCATTAGGAACCACCCTGGGCAAAGTTTTCAAGTAGGAGCAAAGCTGCAGGTGCCAAGCCTAGGTTTTAAACAGCAGCTTGATTAACTTTTCTTTTCCTCCTCCTTTTGAGTGGCAGGGCTGGATTAAATTGTTCTGGTACTCAACTCCAGTTTCCATCCAAGTGCTGTCCTACCAGTTGTCAACTCAACTCTTTGTAAGGCCACAGAGTTAATTGGACCTAGGAGCAATTTAGGATTAAAAGTAAACCAGCAAGAAAACCTGCTTAATTTGGACCAATCCCAAGTGCACAACCCCACAATTAGTTGTTCTGATACAGTAAGATAGAGTATCAGGAACAGAAATGGACAGTGGCACACAACAGCCCACAAGGGCTGCTTACACTGGCACTGCCACCAAAAGAGGTGATGAAACCGTGCCCTCAAACCTGGTGTTACAAACTCAGGGTAATTCTAGTGAAGAAACACTGTGTGTGTCTTCCAAAAAGCCCAGAGCTCTGATCACAGTGATCTGTGCAGAGTAGGACACTTAAACACTGCCACTGATATTTATTAGTGCAGGGAAGGGACTTTCCCTTCAGTCCAGGAGAAGAAACTTGTCTTCTGCCAGAAAATGCCTGATACAGGTTGGACTTGATGTCAGAGGTTTTCTCCAGCCTCAGTGATTCTGTGATGCTGTGGACAACCTGGTCTAATTTTATCAGTGAAACAAGAGTAACCCAGGGAGGCAGCTTTATTTCCTGTTCTGAGGAAATTATCTTCTGCTCCTTTCTCTAATGGGTTCTGTAACAAAGTATCAGCTTAAATTATGTAGAAGATCTTTTTTATCTTACAAGTTACAAATCTGCAAAGCTGTGTCCCTGTGGGGATAGGAAGGGATCATATGAAACTCGTGGCAGAAAGATTAAAATGTCATTGACACCAAAATCAAAAAAACTCGGGACACAGGAAAAAAAAAAAAAAAAATTCCAAGCAGCTGGACAGCAGGGTTACCTCGAGCCAGAAATCCGCAGTGTCGTGCACGAACATCACCAGAGTTCCAAGCCGCACGTAATTGCCGCACCAAGAGCCGCTCATCAGCCCGATGGCTGCCAGGTGATGAACAACGTGAGCCATGAAATCCTGGGAGGGACAGAAGGAAATCCAGGTGGATCCCAGCCCCTGGGGGTCCCCCCCGGCCCCTGGGGCTCGGGGCGCGGCGCGGGGCTCCCGGGCTGTGCGGGCCGATGCTGCCCTCCCGTGGCTGCGCCCAGCTCCAGGCGCTGCTGCTCCCTGCGAGCGCCCTTGCCCCGCTCCCCGAGCCACCCGCGGGCACAAGCACTTGCCTTCCGTTTGATGTCAATCCCAAGGGTAAATATCAGAGACCAGTAAAAGCCGATCTCGGCCATGTAGTACCAGTACTGGGATGGCAGCAAGGTCTGTGATGAGGAAAAACACAGTTAACTCTGAGAATAGGAAAAAGTAAATGTCAAGTGAGATTACTTCTTTTTTCCTTTCCTGACTTCTGCTCCTCTGGTGACTCTTGCTTAAAAAATTAAGCTAAATTAAATTCCTGTCCTGGGCTTCATTAAGAAGGATGTTCTGAGAGCCAAGTATGTTAACCTTTGCTCAGCCCAAACTCTCAATTCCCACAGTTCCTCCCCCACCTCTGGATTTTAGCATGCTTTTTCTCCATGTTTCTGTCACAGAACTACATGCAGAATCCTTCTGCATTTAATTACAAACAACTGCAAATAAACCCCTCGGTTTTGGTGAACAATTAACATAATAAACTGAAATGTCAATTATTTATGCTAAAATCCTATGGATCTGCCTAGGGGAGGGCAGAGCTTGGCTGCTGCCTTGGGTCAGTACATTTCCCAGGTGTGTAGCAGGAGCTGGGAAATCTCAGCTGGAGGCAGGATCATTTGTATTCCTGGCCCCTGTTTGGGACAGGAATAAGAAGGCAGTGGGATGGGGCAGAGTTATTATTTCAATAAGAGTGCCTTGAAGCACCATGGGGCCTGGAGCAGTGCAGGGGTTCTGCACCCAGTCTGGGAGCACTGATAACATCTCCAGTGAGTAACTGGTATCCTGGGCTAGGGGGGGGAGGATGGAGGGGGAAGTTGTAGCTCAGGCAGATCCCAGGGAAGTCCCGCAGCAGTCGGCAGCACTTCCCGAAAAGGGCAGGATTTGGTGCCACACCTCTGTAGGTGGTGCCCGTGTGGAGGGAAAAGGCTGCTGTAGATTATCCCTTCCAATGGGGAAATACCTGGAATGCCTGGAGGCCACTGGCCCGGTGCCAAAAAGCTCACCTGAAACGGATAACCAACCCACGTCTGCCATATGTCGTAAAACCAGGGTTTCTGGGGAAGACACCTCAGTCAGACACTGCTCAGCTCAGCAACAATTATCACCTTAACTCAAAATCTTCACTACTTAAAATCTCTCTAAGTGGAGCAGGCTAAGAAGCTGTAATCTTGATAACTGTTCTCCACCAATTTCTAAAGGGAACTTGCAGCTCAGATTTATTATATTGTTCCCAGCTTTTTGGCTTCTTTTCAGGACACCTGAAACGTTCCAGTTCACAATTTCATCATCCAAAGCAGTGGGTGTGTGTTTTATTACTGCAATTACTCAAGATATGTTGCCACAGTGATTAGATTTGCTGTGTTTACCAGTCACACAGAGCAGTGGATGAGGATGAGAAGCAGTGTTTGGGGACAAGGGCCAGATGAGCAGAGACACGCCGGGATCTGTTCCGCTGCCTGGGGAAGCGCTAATGACACCCCAGGCAGGGCTCACCGAGGTACAAGCACCAATCTCTGTTATTCCCAACTTCTGACTCAGCAGCAACACCTCAGTAAATAGCTGTGACCACCAAAAGTGCTGCCAAAAAAAGTTTATGGTGTCCTCTGAGGAAAACACGGCCATGTGATGCATTTGTAGGTGTTAACAAGGCATGTTGTAAAACCATCTGCGTGACTTCTTCAAGGTTCCTTAAAAATACTGATTACTCATAAATTCCTTTGTCATAGAAGGTCTAAAGTTTAACTTAAAAATTAAATCTCAGTGCATATTGCAGCCCATCATCCAGATTACATACAGTAAAGATCTGATCCCACTGAGATATTGAATTCAGTCTTTCAATGCGATTCCAGAAAATCTAGAAATTATTTCATTTAAATACAGTATCAATCTTTCAAAAAGTTAACTTACATCGTACAGAAATATAAATCCAACAATGGAGGATGTCAGATAGAATGAAAATCGCCAGCTGCAAAATTGAAATGAAAAAATAGGAACAAACCATTATATTTTGTAAATATATTGTCTTGAGCCCCAGTTACTATGGATCATTGTATATCACAGACAATTTTCACATAAATGTGGCCTCACACTCAATGTTAAGGATAGACACATATTAACTGTATTTGAATTATTAATACATAAATATTTAAGGTTTGATTCACTGCTAAATAAGGAAATTCTTTTGCATTGTCATGATACAGATATTTTAATTGTCATGATAGCAGTAATTTTCCAGCCAGGCTTGAACTGATCAAGGAAATGACCACACAAAGTGTAATAAATCCCCTAAAAATTAATGTTTGAGAACACAAACCTTTTCCTGGGTTCATTCACTTCATCCCTCCCAACACCAATTGCTGACAACAGGGGAGCCTTATGAATTATTAGAATCTACTGGGTTAGTTTACATCTTTATACAAGGTCTCAATTAACTATAACCTCATCTTTGACTAGGTGTGCCAGAATTTAGCCTGATCTAAGCTTTTTGTAGATTAAATGGATATCCAGCAAGGCAGATAAACCTTCCAGCTTTGCACCATCAGCTTGCTAAGTCAGCAAAGGCAAAAAGCTCTTGAGCACCTCAGTGAACTGTGCTGCTGCTTTTGGGTGTCAGAGCAGGGTGCTGTCAGAGCCCTGATGATTCTGGAGCCTGTGTGGGAGGCATTGTCCCAAGGACTGGGTGTGGCTGCAGCCTCAGCCCAAGCATTCCAACTCCCACCTCTACAGGTGATGGAAAACTCCTTCCTTTCCACTCTTCCCCGGGCAGGTCAAGCCAAGGCTGACCTTCCCCCTGAGCAGCTCTGCAAGTCCAGAAGGAAACAGTGCAGGACTTCTCATGAGAAGGAAGGTTGTGACACAGGGACAGGCACATGGCCCCAGAGCTGCTGAGAACTTCTTCTAGAAACAGAGGTATCCCAGAGGAGAGCAGCAAGCAGCTCCCAGACAACCCAAACCCACTGAAAAGGAGAAAGCACCACAAGAACACTGTACCAAGGGATTGAGAATTGTAGAAAATAAGATTGGGATCTTTGGCAAGCTTTAATGAAGTGTCAAATGAGAGAAGAGGAGGAGAACCTGTGTGGTAAAAGCAGCCCCTACTTTATGAGCCTCACATCCCCTGGAGGTTGATATTCCAGGAGAAAGAATGAGATTTTCAAAGGCTGAGACTGTTTTATGAGAAAAACAACAAACAAAAATGAGGATGTGGAATGTTGGAGGTGAGACAAAATAAAGTGACTCACACCTGAGAAAAAAGTCAGGAAAATAATTATAAAATTGCCACTTGATACACATGTGATAAACAACTGTTTTTCTTCTCAACTTTAAACTATCTTCCCTGAGATTTGAAAATAACACTACTCAACAAGCACTGCATGAACAGGAAAAGCACAGAGGTACATGGTGGAAATTGCAGAGTGGAACCCACAAGGAATACCTGGCTCAGAGTTAACCAAGAGATGCTGGAAAACACAACACTGGCATAGGACAGACTTCACACAGCAGCTGCTTCTGCCCTCATGCCTTCCATTCCAAACAAAGTGTGAGTGACCAGTGGATATGGCAGCATTGATTCTGTGTTGGTTGTAAGTGCAAGTGGGGTTTTCTGAATCAGATTCAAAGCACAGAGCACCCACAAGACTCTGCCATTTGTCCCCAGCCCTATTATATATTACATATTATATATTATATATATTGAATGCATTTGGCAATAAACAGCACTTCAGATGAGCTCATTCTGTGTGCAAGGCTGCCAGAGCACTGCCTCATTTTGCACTGAGCCCAGCTTCTTTATGAATTTGGTGAATAAAACCTGGAGTAAAACTCATCCAAATTCACCAAATTTCACTCAAGTGCCTCTTAAACTCTGATCCTGGCCACCAGAGAGAGCACTGAACAACAGCTATGCAAGAGGATTTTCTGGTTTAACTTCAGGAATCTTTTCTCTTGAAGTGAATGTAACAAAAAAGAACTTGGTAGGGGAAGTTAAAGGCTGGTAAATCTTACAAGGCAGAGTAGTTTCATGCAAAGGGCTTTCCAAACCCCAGAGTTGCTTAACTGGGAGCACTAATAGCATAAGTATGGTTTAGATCTGGCTCATCAGATTTTCCTTGTGATTCAGAAAAAAGATCCTGGAGATTGCAGGCTTTCAAAAAATTTCATAACGCTCATAACACTGACTATTAGAGTGAAATAACTCTTTCCCCTTTTTTTTTTGCCTAGAGAATTATATTCAATTAAATTCACTGACAAAGAGCAGAGCAAGGTTCACAAAATTGCACAAGAGAAACCTGCTTGCTTCACTCTCACTCAAGCTGCCAAGCAAGTTGGAATTTTGGTCTTTAGCTGTGTGTTACTAGAGACAGGCACACATGGCAGACAGGTCTTAGCAATAGCAGGAAATCTTATTGCCACTTCTGAAACCAAATTAACTGATCCCCAAAACAACAGCAGACATAAACCATGGCAGGAGAGTTTACTCAGCTCAGACTTCAAAGAGACACACCTCTGTCTATCATCTGGATTTATGTCTGACAGAGGACACCACTAAATCATCATCACATTGATTAACACTGGAAATAATCTTGATAAAGTACTCAACTTTGAGCTCTGTGCTGTACTTTTAACCCTCATGCCTTAAGCTGATCTACAGTTACAGAGGTTCAATATTATAATCAGGTGAAGTTTTGCAAGTGTAATTATGCTAATGAAAAGCCAAATACACAGAGCACTTGAAAGTGCTTTTCACTGGTACAGTTAATGTCAGTACCCAAAAGGGATGAGCTGTGCCCATTTGGGGATTTGCAATTTGTGTGAGATTTTAGATCACACTTAAAGTGTTTAGGTATGAGGAAGTTCTCACACATAAGTGAAAAATCATATGCAGGAGGTTTTGAAACTTCTTACATATTCATTACTGTCACTCAAAGCTGCTCACTGGCCCACTCTCAGCAGGGAGTTTGAGTTCCAGTTTCACACAGTATCCCATGATCAAGCTGTGGCACCTGTCCTTCAGTCTGGATGCCACAATTCCTGCTCTGGAACTGACTTTGGTACACATGACAGCATCCCAAAATGACAGCATGGGTACAAACCTACCCCAGGGTAAGCATTGTTGTTCCCCTATGATTACTGGCAGACAGGAAAATATTTTCCTATTCTCTGTCTGTTTTCATCTTACACTTTGTACAAGGAGCCTACAAATCCATTATTCCACAAAGAAGAAAACTAAAATATTTTAAGGTTTTTCTTTTTCCCAGGAGAAACAGCTAACCTCAACTTTTAACCATCATTTGGAGAAATGCTACTAAATAATTTCAATTTGTTTGTGCATTCAGAAAACAAAACCCTCATCAGGCAGACCCAGTCTTCTGGAAAGGGGGGACCTTAATCATTTTCTTCCAGAAGAGTACAGCAGTGATAACCAAAGGCATTTCTTTCCTTACAAAGCTTCCTGGAATTTCCGGAGCACGGTTGGGATCTCCAGGTTTCTCCGTCTCCTGAACCATTTCTCCACCAAATGGACGGTGCAGTTGCACTTCTTGGCAAGGCCTTTGATCTCTGACTGCAAGAAATAGAACAGTGTTAACAGGAGATGCACCCCAATGTAATTTTCATTTATTTTGTAGTTCACAGAGCAGCTTCCCACTGTTGCAAGGTCTTATTTAAAGATATTACCAATATTAAATATGCATGGGAGGGTATTTTTGAGTAATGCCCGCAAAACCCTGGATTTTTATTTATGTAAATAATGCAAGCACGAAATGAACAGATTCACAAACTCTGCTATTGTCTTTCTGGTCACTCCTGAGAGCTTCAGAGATGCAACTTTTACTGTTAGATATGAGCTTAGGATGCAGGGGGAAGTGCCATGATTGAACAGAGGTGGACATGGCACCTAATATCTTACCATAAATATTAAAATTTGTTTATCTATGAGTCTCAGAGATGAAAAGTGGCCTGGAATTAAAGTGAGCTGAGCTCTGTTCTCAGATCCAAAGCAAGTCAATCTATCCTCCTGAGCAAGGTGCAGAGTGCCCCCCTCCAACACCAGAACTAAACTGGGGGTGGAGCAGGGCCTAGCACTGCACGTGGCCACGGGGGTGCCACACCTGGGTGGCCAGACCAGCACAAGGCAGTGACACTCCTGCACTTTGGGGAGCTCAGTGCCCCACATGCAGCAGCCTGTGGGCTTCCTCCCTCTTCTCCATCCCCAAGTGCAGAAGTGTGGTTTGACCTCCCAGGGCTGCCTCAGGAGCAAGGAGAGTGTTTGGCTCAGCCCTGGGGAAGTTCCCTTCTCCCAAGGGAAGTATGCAAATAGTAGGTGGCAGCAGCTGCCTCCAACGAGATGAGGCCGGTCCAGGGAGTCTCCTACCCTCAGGGAAACCTCTGGAATGTGAGAAAAGGCACCTGAGCTGCCAGGGAGGGCTGGAGTGCAAACAGCCACTGTGTCCAGCCCACCCTGCTGGCTCCCAGCTCTCCACTTGCCACGCAGGAACAGCGACTCTGTTTCCATACAGCAGAGCCCATACAGCTGCCAGCCAGCCTTTCCCAGGCACACTGGTCCCCAGGCTGGACACCTAAAGGAGGCAGCCTGAATATTTCCCATGCTCTGAGGAGTCTAAAAATGCTGTGCTTCCTTTCAGAATTCAAATGTCCAGCTGTACTCAAGCAGAAGGAAGGAATGAAGCTGAGATGGGGATACTTGCCCAGAGAGAGAGCAGCTCATGTGTGAACACCCATGCATTTATTCCTGATGTTATCAGGCAAAAGACACAATAAAAGAATAGCAGAGTTAGGGATAGAATGCCAAGTTCCACTATCAATAATTATCAAAATCCCTCATTACTAGAAAGCACATATTGCTTTTCAAAACCAGTGTAGGAAAACTGAAATTGTTTGGGAACTGTAGTGAGGTAAGGAAACTTCCTGAGGCAGCACTCACAGCAAACTACCTGCCTCCCATAAAAAAATCAATGGCCTGATTTTTGGAGGTGACAAGCATTGGCTAGCCTTTTTTCCTTGTTCAATTTTAAAAAGAAACAGCATGGTAATAGAAGGATTGCTTTTCTTTCTCACATAAGCCAGGATTAAGTATGCAGTAACATAACAGATCAAAAGGCTGCCATGCCAGCATTCCTGCAGTAAATACATTCCTGCAGTAAATACAATCCTGCTTTCAGACATCAGCTGAACCTTCTTCCAGGCAGAATGAGTTAAAGATGGAACACTAATCTTCACTGGAAATATTATTAACAATCTAACCTAGAACAGCATGCCAGAAAATTGAACATCTTAAATGTATTTTCTGTTTCGGATGCCATATACCCTTGTCAGCAGAACAGCAACAAAAACCCAAATAAATTAAGTCATCTGTCAATCAGCTGGAACTCATCCCATGATGTCATTGCTGAGAGCTGATTAAAACAGTAAGAGTGGGATTTTCCAAAAGTAAAACGAGTTTGGAGGAATGAGAATCCTTACTTGGGATGGTTGTCTTGAGCACTCCCGGAAATAACTCTCTAACACAGGATTAGGCTGTGGCTTCACACGTCTTACGTTCTTTATACCCAAGGCTTTTGCTAAAGGTATAGCAACATATCTGAAAAGACACAGCAGGAAAAGCTTTAGAAACACAACACAGTTACAAGACCTTGGCTGTTCTCATGCCAGGATGCAAAGAAAACAAATCGGATGCAATTTAATCCACCATAGAATGTGCCAGTGCACTGAGAAAAAGGTATCTCCCCTAGCTAATCCCAAGAGGCAACCACAATTTATCAGCTGTTATACCATAAAGAAGACCCAAGGAATGCAGTTTGTGGCCATGAAATGCTGTTAAACTCAAGGAAACATCCTGACTTTCGTGGCCATCAGAGGAGTGCTGGGGCTGAGTGAAGGGAGACCAGATGCTGTCTCCACATGAGCTCAGGGACTGCTGCTGGGCAAGTTCCTCCAGTGGCAAAGTCACTTGGCACCTTCTTCACTGGGCCACCACCACAGATCAGTGCTGGATCCAGCCTGTGGCACACAGCCATTCCCTGAGACTGATGCATTCTCTTTCCCTCCCTTTTCCACCCCAAATCACTGCAGAGGGCTCCAAAGGTTTCACCTTCCTGCTTGGGCAGGGTGTTCAGGAACAGCCCCTCCCTCCTGCTGTATCAGCCATGGATTCCTCATTGCTCAGAGCAGTGGTCAGCTTTCCCCAGACTCACTGCAGCCAGATGTGTGGGCTAATTACCCTCAGCACTGCAGTGAGACACACTGGGAATGGTTATGAACATATGATCCAAATTACTTTTCATTTCCAGCATGAATGATCTTATCTGCTTCTGGTTTAAGTCTGTCCAACTTACGACATTCCAAATTTCCTCATTCTGTCCTGAAATAATTATAAAAACCTACTAATCACATTTTTTAGAGGAAAAAGAAAAGAAAGTAAAGCAAAAAAGGTATAAATAAATAAGTCAAAACACTGCAAATCTTAATATGATTGTAGCTTTCTTCTGTGGAGCCAACCTCTGCCTGTCCCCTAAGACTCCAGCTGCAGAAGCAATTCATTTTTGGTGCCAAAGAGAGGGGGAAAAAAAGCAACCAGCTTTACTAGATCTGCATAAAATGTTCACATGAAACTTTGAGATCCCTCCAGCCTGCTTAGCTTGGCCAAAGAGAGACACCTGGGGTCTATCAACCTCACACGAACGTTCTGGTGCAGAACCAAATGAGAGGTTTGGTTGAGAGGACAAATCTCTCTAGTCTTCCACTGAAAGAAAAAAAGGAAACCCAAAAGGTTTAGAATGGAAAGGAGATAATCAGAAGTATCCAAATGCTGTTCTAGAAAAGCTGGATAGAAATATTTCCCTTCTGGATTGGACCACAGCCACACATACCTAATAATGAAAATATTTTCCCATTTTTCACCTGCTGTGTTATCTGTACTAGATCTTCCTAGTAAACCACCAACTAATCCTCCTTTATAAAACATAGCATTGATCCACAGATATCTCACTTTCAGCATTAATGAGGATTAATTGCATTTCAGTTTCTTACCTCTCACTGAAGAACCGGATGATCAGCAATACAAAAGCGTACGGGATTGTGGCGTACAACTGATGTGGTTTGGGAAACACGAGTCCCTCTCGGTCCACAAAATCTGCCCATGTGCAGTTGATGGGCATCCAGATATTCTCCCACCAGAACCAGCTGTTGAGTGTCTTTAGGATGTATGCCATGCTGAGTAAATAAAGAGAGAATTTCATTTATTCCTCACATATTAAAAAGAAAATGCATGAAAAAACCCATATTGAGTTTTTTGTGTAAAGTCAGTAAAGTCAGTGTTCTCAGGGGAAAAAAAAATCATACAGGAAATTAAAAACCCTCTTGGTTTAGAGCAAAGAGGTAGGATTATAACCCAGCAGAAGATAAAATAATAAAGCTAAATTTTGATCTGCTATAAAGCAATAAGGGCCTTTGAAATCTGCACAGGGAGGTACCTGCTGCCTCCTTCCAGTCACTCACACTGCCCTGCTTAGCACCTGGTCAAATCTCCTGCAACATTCATGTATTATCTATCATATTCATACTAATGAGAGCTCATCTTCCTGGGGCTGCCTTTATAAATTAAATATAAGTGGGAGGAAGAGTGGAAAAGAGATGAGAAGGTCCAGGGAGTGCCTCAATTCCATAGTAAGGAGGACATTGCACTGATGAATTACTGCTGTCTAATATGCTAATGGAAATATACCCTGAATTTGCAAACACCTGTGCACAGGAACAAAAGGGGAAAAAATACAGTGCATAGCAAGCTTTTTCTGGGAATTGTGGGAAATTATATGATTTAACTGTGACCAAAATCTAGATCAGGAAGAAATGTCTAAAATAAGTTCTGGAAGGAAAAAAAATTCACTTTGACTAAAGCATTTAATTCTTGTAAAAGCCTCCTTTTTAACTTTTGCAGTCTTTATTATATATTTGGCAATTGCTGTTCTCTCTTATTTATTTGTAAGGCCTTTACAGTACAAACATGTTATATATCCTATAAAAATATCCTAACGTTGAAGAAAAACAGAAGTTACTAGAGTATTTTCCATAAGGCTGAAACACAATTTTTCCATGATTTCTAGGAATAGTAAACTTGAATTACTTTTACCACGCTAAAATTTTCTGTAAACCAGGGAAAACATGAGGAAATAACTGATATCATTGAAACATAGCCTTGATGAGGAAACAGTTGAGCTGGGAGGATGATTTCTACCAAATCTTTATCTTATCAGAAGATCTCCCAGCAATATCTCTGTATAGGATCATGAGTTGAGATCAAACCATGCCAAGGTCAGGCAGCACTTCAGCCCTTTCCCTGCTCTTCCAGGGAACACAGGGTTTTAGTTGTGCCTGCAGCAGGCTCAGGACATCACACCTAGAGCATCCCAGACCTGGACACAGCTTTAATTAACACCAGAGCCCTCATTAATTAACAGCCAAACAACCATTGCTGGTCCACACTGGGCTGTTTGCACTAAGCTTGGAGCAGGTCTGTGGACACAGGGACCTGCACCCCTCAAACAGAGCTGGTTAACAGCACTGCAGATCCATGGGCTGGCCCAGCACAGTAGTCAGAATTGAACTATTAATAACCCAGTCATTTAATCTTTTTAAATGCAGGAAGGGGACAGTAAAAACCTCCTGAATGACTTGTGTGTGTGTATAAGTAAATGCAAAAATAAAGGAGAGAGAAATCACAATTGTTCCTGAGAGACTTTATATGCCAAGTTCCAGCCTAGAGCAATGTTTTACTGCTGAATTATAAACTCCTGGAAGTGGGGATTTATGCTGGGGCTGCTAACAGACCCTAAACAGCAGCTTGCAGGCGCCACCCTAATGAAGCAGGGCTTTGAAACATGACATTTTGGGTCAGACAGAAAGGCTTGCAGACAATAGAAGACCAAGGGAAAGCCTTGTTACACAGTTCTGCTTCCTAATCTATCTATATTTTTTAGCTAGACTGTGCACTGCAAGCTATCCCAAACTGTAATGAAAAGGGGCCAGTCTGTTATGGCACAGTGGAAGGAGCACTCACAGTTGCCTTGTGGTGAGATGGGCTGGGCTGAACATGCACCCAAAATATTGAAACCTTAGAAAAGCCCAGTAGTGCATATTTTCTTATTGGATTCCTGGGATCTCTCTAATTGATGGTTTTCTTCCACACATGGATGCCTCACCATATGATTTCCTCTTAAACCAGTTAATATAGCACTATTAAACTAAGCTCATAAGTACATGCCTAATCTTAAAACATAAGGGAATTCTGGGATTTGAGGTCTGATCCAGAGTTCACATATTTCAGGGGAAATCTTTCCTCACAATCACTAAACAGATTCATCAAAAGGTGGATTCTCTGAAACTCTTCCTTCTGTAATCCCTGTATTTGTACCAGGACTGGCCCCTGGGGCTTCGACCATCCCTGAGGAACACTGCCCAAGTGATTCTGACAAAACCAATGGATGAGATTCCAAATCTGTCTGCAGCTTATTCTTAAGTTCCATAACCCTTAAACTGGATGTTTTCACTGCAGAAAATCAGGCCATGCCCTGGGAAACCTTGAAGGTTTCCATCTTCATAACAGCAGCAGTGAAATAGCTGGGCTGCTTTCCTGCCTCCCTTCAGCTCTCATCACCAGGTTCCTGGAGCACCTGGGAGGTGAGGAATTCCTTAAAAACATCAACCTGAGCAGGAGCAAGGGGACAGCTGTGGCCACCAGCCCCAGTGCTGGGATCAGGCTGAAGATGCTGGATTTCAGAAGTAAATGGTTTTTCACTTGCATAAACTGTCATGAGTTCTCTCCCCTGCAAACGCTGCTTTCAAAGAATGGGCAGCAAATGCAAAGGCCAAGCTTGGCCTGACTTGGGACCAGGTCTAACTAAAAACTTAAAATCCTACCCAGCCTAAACCTCCTATTGCTGAGTGCTGAGCTCAGAGCTTCTCCTCACAGCCTGTGGCAGCACCAAGCAAGCAGGAGTGAGAAATGCAGCAGTGAGTGACTCATTCTGCCCAGCCTAGGGTGAAAAACCTCTGCCTCTTCCCATAGAGCAGCACTGCCAGGAGCATTTCCCTTGAAAAAACTGGAATCCTTGCTCTGGAAGGGGCTAAAAGCCAGTCAAAAATAAAGATATTTTTAAAAACTCAAGTTCCTCTGCATCTCAGGGATTAAATACTCCCAGTAAAGAAATCAAATCACCTCCCTGTTATGGAAGGATCACCTCTGTAGCTTAATCTAGTTTTAATGGGCTAGTGCAAAACAGGAAAATCAGGAATGATTACTTCAGGAACTGCATCCTTTATAATTAAAGGAAAGCCCACACAGTTGGCAGGTACCAATGTGAAGTTTCTTTCAAAGTGCTGTTTCTTGGATCCTGAATATATTCAATAAAAAAGCCCTCATATTTTTAATGATATTAAGAAGAAGGAAAAAAAAAAGGGGCAAATCTGGGGTTGACAAAAGCTGGGTGGCTGCATTTTGCAAAACAAATTCAGGAGCTGCTTCAAAGTGGAATTTCTGGCTGCCGCAGTCTGAGGAATTAATAAAAAGAAACTGAGCCAAAGCTTTGATTGTATTGTCTGTACAAAAGCTCTTGAAAACTGCATTTCCAAAGCCAGGACTAAGAGAAGGAGATATCCAGGTTTGCAGGATGTATTAGGAGGATTTCCTATCCTTATTTACTGAATAAATTGCAAAACCCAATGGATCAACAACACAAACATGCAAGTGAATGTGACCTTAATTCTCCTAAGCATCCCCTTAGTCTCCTCAGTGAGGCTCCAGAGGTAACAGGGACAGACTGAAATCAGCAAAAAGCAGGAAGAACGTAATTCTCCTATTCCCCTCATAATTTGGCAGAACTGGCAAAGCTGGTGCAGTGACTGTTGGGAAAATCAAGCCTCAGATATCAAAACAGATAGCAAAGCTGTTCCAGGCTGCTCATCCTCAACGTGAAATAAAAGTGGTTTAAAAGAGCAAATAAAGATCAGATCCACCATACCACAGGCTTTGGTTTTGCTTAAGACTCAGCAATATTTCCAGGAGTTAACACACAAGTTTCAGCTGCAGATCTGTGTTCTACTACAAACAGACTGGTCTTTTTTCTTTTTGACAATGTGTGAAGAATCCCAACTGCATCCAGCAGCGTGAAACAGCTGAACAGAGATGGGTCCTGCACACTGACCTGTGCTTTGTGGAGCAAGGCACTGAAGGCAGGATGTTGGATTGATGCTGCCACCTCTTTGCATCCTGTCTTACCTTGTTTGTGCCAGTGGGAAAACAGGATTCCAGCTGAATTCTGCACAGCCTGAGGCAGGGCTGGCTGACACCTCTCCCAGCCCACACAGCAGCAGGGGCAGCACAGAATAGAGGAGCTGCTGGACTCAGTTTCTTACAATGAAACCCCAAAATACTGAATTCAAACAGCTGAATTAAGATTGCTGTGAGACCTTTAACTTCACATTTACTCCCTGGCTTGTACAAATCTCAACTGTAAACACTTTAAGTGCCTCATTACAGGGCAGTTGCAGCATTTTACTTTTTACTGTTCTTTCACATTACCTTGTAACTTGGGTACTATATTGAGCAGGCAAAAATAGCACTTTGAATAAATCTCAATTAAGGTGGCAAGTGAATTTTTATTTTTCCCTGTTCTCTGGAAGGAAAACAAAACCTCAAAAAAAGTGAACCTGACTTCTTTGAAATAATTCATTTTCTGGGTGAAAGTCACCATGCTCTCTCTACTTAAAGGTAAATAATTTTTGAGCAGCTAAAATGGTTTTAGGTGATTGCAGGCTGCTGAGGAAAGTGAAATACAGTTCTCTTACTGTACAGTTACAGTGCAAACTATGTCCACTTTTAAGCTTTAAAAATCTATAAGATGAACAGAGTGGAATAAAGAGCTGTGAAATAACTCAAGTAACTGCAGTAATTTTGAGATAAAAAGTAGTTGCTGGGAAAAAACCTAACCCTATCCAAGATAGAGGTTCTCGATAGATGATTAATTCACAAAAAGTTTGAACAATCCTAAAGGAACAACTCTTGTTGCTTTGAGAACTTAGTAATACTTATCAGAATGTAAAGAAAAATCTTTTAGATTATGAGGCTTTTCTTCAAATTTTTACTACTGGGGAAAGATGCAAAAAAGATTTTTTTTTTTTTTTTTGCAGCTTACCAAAGCTTTGTTTGAAATACAAACTTGAAGTCTGACTTAAAATGCAAAGCTACATAATGGAGATCTTACCAGAGTTGTGCCACTTATTTCAGGTGAGAGTTGAGGGCAGGGAAGAATTGAGCAGAACAGGAGACACAGAGGTCAGGACAAGCAGTGGGAGCACAGAGCATGTGGAGGCAGTAGAATAGAGAGAACCAGAGATGAGACCTGAGGGTGGAGAGGCTCTTGGCTTTTCCACCCTCAGTGAATGACTCAAGGTTTTAAATAAGCCCTTGGAAGGCAGGGAAGGCACAGGATTGGTGGCCTTGCACTCTGGAGAACTCTGTTTGCCAGAGAACCTTCAGCCATGGTGTGCACCAGGGGCTCCCACTTGGCCATCTGTGATCCCCAGAGCACCCTGGGGCAGCAGCTGAGCCAAGGCTGCTGCGCATCCCCGTTCCTGGGCTTCCAGCTCCCCCTGGATTTCCCTCCTGAGCAGCTCATCCTGCCCAGACATTCCCCACCCACCAAGACACCTGGAGGAGGAGCCAGAACCATTAATGGTCTTTCATTATTTCAGCCGTTTTGCCGTCCTTTTCATGTCCTAACAAATGCAAGGGAAATTTTCAGCCACAGCACAGCCTCTTCATCAGCAGTGGCAGCCAGCTGAAGGGCTGAGCTAGGAAGGTATGAAAAATAGAGATACATTGCAACAATGTGATTGGGGTTCTTCCATCTGAATGTTGGGGCATTACTATGAAATAACCCTCTCTAGCAGCTTGTTTAGGTGTGTTATTTATAGCACAAGCTTCTTCAGAGCTTCAAAAGAGAAGTTTTACAAAAAAACCCCACCAAACCTCTGTTAAACTGAATTTCTTAAAGGATTTTTTTTCTTAGCATTTTACATAAAAATTTAGAAGTAGCTTTTTCAAGCTACTCAAAAATCAAGGGGTTTTTTCTCTTATATAATCACACCAATATCCTTAGTTAGTATTTATTCCTGTTAAGAAAATTTCCTCCCAGTTCAGAAAGAAGTGCTGTTACAAGCACTTAACAGGATAATGTACAAGAAGTAGAAAGGGAAGCTACTACTGTAACCTGGATTGTCTTTTTAATTTTTTCCTTCACTAGGAAGCAGTTCTCATAGGTTGGAATACTTAGTGGCAAAGTATAAAATCTCATTAATGTCATTCCACTCTTTATCTGAAGACTACTCATGGGAGTTACTCTACTCTTCCCTTATTAAACAATGTTAGAGACCAAGCACATGCTGACAATTCAGATCACAGGGTGATGTGAGGAGAGGGGGAAAAACTCCAACAAAATGTACCAGGCCAGGAAAAAAGGGCAGAAAAAGGAACTCTTACCTTTCTGATGTTGCAGTCAGAGACCATAAACACATTAGCAGGGAAGAGGCATCACACTCACTACTCTGACCGAGGTAAACACGCCCTATCTCCAGAACCCTTTCAAATTCTTCTGAGACCCACCCAGCAAAGCTGCACTTCAAGATTTCTGACTGAAGGCAATCCTGATGTCATCCACATCACCCCGTGAAACTCGGCAGCAGCAGCAGTGCCACTGCCTTCCCTGCTCCTTTCAACACAGCAGATGAAGAAATGTTTGAAGTCACGTGGCCTCCGTTGCACGATGAGAATTGGTCTGGCTGGAAATTGCTCCACGCACACGGGAGGATGCTGAGCCTGCTGAGGGTGCAGAAAAGGGAGCACCAAAAACATCACTTCACCCTGACAGCTTTTAGATGAAGTGAGGGGTTTTGAATAAAGTTAGAGAAAGGTTTCTGCTCCTATTGAGCACTCTCAGCAGTACTTCCAGCCTCAATCAACTGAATGTTCTACAACAAGTGTTCCAGTTCCTCAGAAGATCAAAAATGTAATTTCTGAAATTCCTAAAGCAGAAGAAAGCACACACTGAGCGTGTGTTTGGTTAGAGATACCATAGAAACATGGCAGTTTTACTTAACCTATCTGACTGTTTAATTTCTTTTTTAATTCCATGACTAAGGAATCAAGCTGAAAGTCATTCCTCAGCAGCTCTCCCCAGTTTCAAATAACAACAGCCTTCAGAAGTATTGGCATTATTTGCATTCTGGTGGACACATTAATGTGGAGAAGAGAAGCTCACAGAGAAGCCAGGAGCAAAGAACCTTTTATTAGCCTTTTCTTCCTGCTTGCAGTCAGCAAACAGCAGCCCAGGAAATGGGACCAGACTTGCCAGAGTTGAGCCAAAGCTCCATCTCAGCCAGCCCTCTGTCAGAAGGAAGGCAGGAGCAGATGGCTGTGGGAGAGCACAAGAATGAAGAAACAGAATAGTAACTGGTAAGGCCCCCAGCCATCAGTGCTTTGGGGCTCCAAGAGTTCTCAAAGCACAGAAGGCATCTGTGGGAATAACAGTGGAGAGGCTCCCTCCTGCAGGCCTTCCTTCCCACAGCTCCTTTGGAGCATACTGAAACTTTCATCTGGATCTGTAAGCCTGCCATGAAAGAAGATGGGACCCAGGCAATATTTGCAACCTCTTCATTTCTAACTCCTTGTGAGAAAAACGTGGGTTTCTTCCTATGGCATTTCTTTAATTTTAGGTATTCTATCTTGCAGCTATTACAAGTCTTTGGTCCTTCCATGAAACTGGGAGCACTATTCAATAACCTGATGCACCAGAGAAACATTAAACATGAAAGGGTATTTCAGAAAAGATTATGGCTTGGCTGCTGCTTTAAATGATCTCCAAACTTTCCCACATCTGAGTGAACCACTGCTGTGAACCAAGCAGAAGATTTAGGAACTCTCTGCCAATTAGGAAAGCCTAGAGCAAGCTGATTCATGCATCACTTGACCTATGCTGGGCCAGGAATGGAAGAGGTTAATTGGCACCAACATCTTTCTTATGCTTAAAACCACAATTTCTTCAGTGTTACAACAAATTGCAAAAAAAAAAAAAAAAAAAAAAAAAAGTTGGGTTGACTGGAGCAAACATGGGACTGCTACAAAAATAAAAAAGGAACACATGTTTTAACATGTGTTACCCTTTTTGAGCAGCATTTGTTAGGCTAGCACCACCTAGATAGGATACTATTACAAGATTAAAGATATTCTGTGGTAAGTAACAAGCTAATCATACCCCCTTGATTAAAGTGCCCACTGACCTTACAATTATCCCTGCACCTCCATAGGGCTTATCCTGCAGGAGTCTTAAATTTGAATGCTGGGAAAAAAAAATCAAACCAAAAAAATACCTTGGTCTGCACGTCTCACTGAGAAAATAAAAATTTAAAAGTTTAAGTGCTACTATTCCTTACTTGCAGCACAATATCTACTCATTCATTGGACATTTTAATATAACTAAATATAGCTAGATAATGGAGACATGTATTTTACCCAATTATTTTACACATCACTGGCAATTATGTATAAGTTCTCAGTAAAAAAAAGTATTCCAACAAAGTAAGAAAAATTTGCTTCTTTCAGAAAATGTTACAAAATGTCCCTCTTTTCCAGTCAGCTGAATTCATGTAATAAATTACTGTTTATCCACACAGTGGGTGTGAGCTTCCAGCCGAGGTTCCAAGCAGTTACATAAGAGAGTTTACAGTATTAGTAAACTTTCTCACTAGAGAAAAACCTCCTGGCAAATCTTTGAGACTTGTTTTAAATCTTAAGCTTCTAGAATCAGAAGTATGTGTGGTGGTACCTGCAGAGGGAGAAGAAACATCAAAACAATCCCCAAAACCCCTAAGGGTTTCTTTTGTTTCCCTTAATATATATAAAAAAAAATCCTGGAATGAATGTGGGGAACCAAAAATAAATGTTTTAGATATACTGTCTGTTAGTACCTAACCATTTTTGCTAACTGATTATCTCAGTGGTAGAGTGTTAAACAAACCTCAGTCACATGTATACATGGAGGAAAAGTAAGAATCAATTTGATCTAATAATCATTTGCACTCTGATTCTCTCTTCACCACCAGTGAAACCCATCTCCTTGCCATCAGGAATTCCTTCAAGATTAAAGTAAAAAAACCTTGACATTCCTGTACTTTCTGTGCCTCAAGAATAAACAAGAGCCTGAAAATTAATCATTCCAAGTCATGTGTCACAATATCATATTCAAAACCTTGTAATCTGTAGTTTAAAAGCCAAGATCCTTCTTTTCACAGGAATTCACATCTTCTAATATGCCAGCCCTCCCTTACACCAAAGGAATGAAAAAGTCTCAAATCTCTCAGAAAGCTTTTTCCTCAAGATGTTCCCTCCTAGTATGACCTGATTCATAATCCAGATCCTTACAGGGAAAGGTTCACTAAGGAGAGGCTCGTTACTAATTAATTAGTAATGCCATCTGTCATAAATAAAGACTAGATACCTGATCTTGAATGCAGCAACCATTAATGCAATAGATATTTATCATCCACAAGTGCCATTGCAGGTACAAATGAGGAAAATTTGAACACACAGGCTGAAATCTTCAAACCAATTAAATCTTCTGAAACTGTTGTTTCAGAACTCGGTGAATTTTAGCCAGAAAGAAAATTCATTACTTTGAGAATCTGGGCTTTAGCAATAGGAGGAAGATGACTTGGATGAAGCGGGTGAAGGGAGGATATCAGGAGCAATAGTGGAAGGATAAAGTCAGTGCAGGGAAGGAACTCCCTCTGCTGCTGATCCACCCTGCCATAGGCTTGGGATATGCCTTAGGAAAAAAGGCTCCAGGAAAAGACCTTACCTGGGGACTGCCTTGCAACCAACTTCTCTCACACACTCAACCACCAAGGCCAGGAAAACCACAATTATGCTCCCTTACAAGCCCTTGGCTGTATTCCATTCAAATACTGAACACACCCTGTATCAATCAGCCTCCTGGACAGGAATTAAGAATCCTCTCCTATGCAGGGGCACAGAGATGTGATTTGCTGAAGAGTTCATCTGCTCACAGTTTGGTTGTGACATTCCTTATGCAAAATCCTAATTGTTTTGTCTTAAAATTATCTTGGTGAGAGGGCTTTTTTTCCTTTCCCTTGATTTAGCATCAACTTGTCCATACTTGTCCAAGTCTCTTTTCTGTTAAAACACCAGAAAAGTCAAATATAACTGCTTATCTATATAAGGAACAGTCACCAAGTTTGTTCCAGTACATTTGCAGAGGCAAAAGTCACGTTTTCCTCTCCACCTACAGCACTGCCAATTCACTCAACACTCCTGTGCTGCCACTATCTGAAAATCTAGAAAAATTCACTCAATCTTCTGGCTGCAGCAATAAGAGATTTAACAATTAATCCAATCAACTTAGAATTTCTTAACCCATTTCCAACAACATAAGAATAACATAGGATTCAAAAAAATAATGAATCCTTGGGGCTGGAAGCATTGGTTTAACAACAGTATGAAAATAAACCCCAACAATTTGTAACACTTGCACGTAAGACAATGCTGCAAACATTGTTTGATTACGTTGCTGGGAGACTCTTGGAGCATCAATCTTTAATCACCCACAAAAAACATAAAACATGAGCATTTGCTTGGTGAAACAAAGAGAATTCCTTTGATGCTTCACACTCGGCAATTCCCACTTATGCATCAGCTCTAAGTGACAATTACAGAAAATAATTGTAAATAATTATACAGAAAATAGTGGCAGCACACTGGTCAGTGATTTTAGCTGAGGTAAAGAAACCCACCTTTAGAGGGACCAATGCTCTGTTGAAGGTGACCAAGTACTGGATTCTCCCTTGAGGAGATAAATAACTTCTTAAAAAATTTGGTTGAGTTTGGTATTTGCTGCTTAATGGGTCATTGCCTAACTTTCACAGTAGCTGTAATGGTGTCAGCAGAAAGGCACAAATTTCTTGAAGAATATAAATATTATCAAGGAAGCCAAGTACTAGAGGTAAATGTCCAGAAAGCATTAATTTCTGTTTCAGTTAAATCCCTGCATGAAAGAACTATGAAAGATCTGTAGAGACAAAGTTACTCCAAGATCTGACAAACCCTGGAAGGTGACACTTGAGAATAAAGCTTTTTCCTTTCCAGCAAGGAAAGAAATATGGACATAGGATTTTGTCATTTGTCTTTTTCACTTAATCAATATACATTCCTTTGCAAAACAGACTTCAAATTATTATTCATGTATTAATATGTGGCTATTACTTCCTCAAATGCTAAGGGCATTTGGAACATTTTAGAAGTTCCACAGAAAATATTAATTTTTAACTCTCAAGAACTAGGATGAGATGGGGTAGATACCTGGCTAACTCCAATTAGCAGCTACAATTCCTGACAATTTCAGAATATGGGCCTGCAAACCTTCCCTACAAACTTTAAGGAAGCCACCATTCAGCAGCGCTCACTGTTGAGGTTGTGTGTGCTATTTTTTCCA